ATTTTATTAACCAATATCTTTGCTGCTGACCTTTGATGATCCAGTTCAACCATACTAATAAGCAAAAATTACTTTAGATAAACTAACAAATGTGCTTCATTGTTTTTTTATTGCTGAAGAGTGTTTCTTCTCCTGCGTTCTACTGTACAGACGTGAATTTACATTTCCTTCAGCCTGAGGTTTATTCATTACACTTTTTGGTGTGAAAGGGCTTTTACATTTGCTATAAATAGAACTTCTTATATTAAAAACAATCAAGCCCTGCTCATATTTAAAAAGTAACGCGAAAGTAACGCAAAAGTAATGTAATGCATTACTTTCCATGAAAAGTAACTAAGTAACATAATTAGTTACTTTTTTAGGGAGTAACACAATATTGTAATGCTTTACTTTTAAAAGTAACTTTCCCCAACACTGACAGTCAAATGGTTTGTTCAAAAGAACCAGATCTCCCAACATTAAATGAAATTAGATTTTATGAAAAATATGTGATTTGTGCATTCCCCTGCCATCACAATGTTGTGGGTGGTTAGGCAGGCATTGCTATACTGTTGCTAAGCTGTTCTGAGTGGATTTCAGAGCATTGCTAGGTGGTTGCTAGGGTGTTTGGGGTTGTTGCTAGGTGGTTACTCACTGAAGTTGAAGTTGAGAGCCCACCCTAAAGTGTCAATGATATTAAGCACTATATATACAGTCCCTCCTTTTTAAGGGATTTATAGACATGATGAGATATAGTAATGAGGTTTCGCTTTAGCCAAACACGTTAATGATTCACAAGATTGGCTTTTTGAATGGATCTGTGAAGGAACTATACGATTGTAATGTATTGACTGAAATAAAACAGTCTTGAAATTCAATCTCTTTCCTATGAGACCAACTGGTTATGTTTCCCAGAAGCAAACTCTGTGACAGGAACCCTGGATTAGTGTGAAATATGCCATGACATAAGACAACCTCCTCAATGGAGTATGTCAGCCAACATATGTAGCCATTTTACACACAGTACAGCAGACATACTTACACACACACACAGAGAGAGAGTTTGAAACGGTATACTATCACAGGGTGGCCTGCAACATTTGTGTAAAGTGAAGAAATTTTTACATGAAATTAGAATTAAAAGTCATTCAATTAACGTGCAATGTTTATACTACAAGTCCAAATATATGTGGCCACATTTAAAGAAAAATATGCACAGCATGAAGTAGGGTGACACAGTCTCATTTTACCCCACTCTCCTCTAACCAGTTTGTAGGCAGTATTCACTGCATACATATCATGATTGCTTTGATATGCCAGGCG